GAGGACATTTGATCTAGCCTAATACAGCACAGCTCTGATCCTTCCACTGAAATGCTTGTATTAGCATTGCTGATCCTGAACCCAACAGTTCATTTCAGAGAAGAGGAAAGAATGTCCTTTAGCAACTGTTGGTTTAGTTCCTCTGCCTGTTGGACGGCCACAGAATGTCACACAGTGACTGCTTTCACACGTTATTACAATGCCAATTTTCAGGATATATTTTGTGAAACAAATATGTTCTCTCCACAGAAACAGAAAAAATAAGAAACTGTAAAAACATTTATTCCCCTGTTCTCTGCTCAAGGTTACTTTGTTAGGTTAAATATTTCTGTGTTTTCAGTTAGAACACAGCATCCTTTCATGATGAAAAATTACAGGAAATACTAACTGTACAGAGCCACTATTTTCTTTAAAAGCATCTTCATTAAAAAATACAGTACATTACCTCATGTGTGCCATTTGCAATATATTGTTTGCTTAATTTACAACATACTTTACTGTATCCAGAATCCACTTAGTATAACCCCAAAATGATTTTGTTCAATTATGCTCATAGACAAATTTTGCCAGTGTATTTTGGATTATGTGAGTATTGATGCATAATGTACTTTTCCATTTGATTTATGGATTTGCCAACAATACCAACTACATTCACGTCCCTGAGAGTAGAATGGACCATTTCTATTCTAGCTGGCTCACAGCAGAGATGAAAGATGATCATAAAACCACTTCAATAAACACCTAAGTGCTATATTTAGAGCCCAGTAAGATGATAGCTCCCTAATTTTGAATCTGCTCTTATTAAACAATTGGACACAAAAGCAACAGAAACCTCATTACTGCTCTTTTGTCAGAGATTCTGCTTGTAAAACTGGGTATTATGATGTGGCACTTAAAACATTGGACAGTAATATATAATTGTAATATCTGTAAGTCTCAAAATAAATCATGAAGCTGGATAAAAATTACCTTTATTTCATGGATGAGGTAGGAAAAAAGCAACAGAGAATAGCGTAGTTGACTTGCCTGTAGTCTCAAAGACATTGCCAGATTTAGGAACAGATCTTACGTCTGACCAGAGGTTTTTTCCACATGGCTCTGTTGTGTTGTTATGTTGTGTGGCATAAAAGCAATGGATGTTACATTCCAGCTGCTCACTCAGAGCATATTCAGCATCAGAGAACTATCAGCTTACAAACAGCTAAATATAGCCCGCAGATGCTCACTGAAGTGTCTCTATGGTCATCTTTCCTCTGTCATGAGACAGTTAGAATAGAAATGGTCCATTCTGCCCCCAGGGATGTAAATTTTCTGTAAATACAGTCATTTGCCTTCACAACAGTAAAGTTACTCCCTTGCCTCAAAGCATCTGAAAACTGGTGTGTGTATGTTGTCTTCTGGAGTACTTAGCTAATAAGGATTCTTCTCTCTGCTATAACCTCAATATATCTGACAAGGTAAATAAGGCTTCCTTTATTGAAACTCCAATTTTTGTTCTTTTTCACAATTTTATGTATTTATTTAAATAATCAACTCTAACATTAGAAATCAAACACATTTTGCTTTTCTTGTAAAGCATCCATTACTAAAGAACTGTGATTAGAAAGACCGAATATGTAATTATTAATGATTCACTGAATATAYGTAATATTTTCGGTTACAAGTCCTTAAAGTGTTTTAGAAACAATAATCAGAGGAAGCTCCTCAGCATGAAATCTACATTTAAATCATTTAAAAAGTTATCATTCACAATACTACATCTGATCCAAAGCTCTAGTGCTGCTGTTTGTGATTTTACAACCACACTTTCCTATTTCTTCTAAAAATATTTTTCTCTCCCCTGCTGCTGTGTCAAAGGCTCAGGCAAAACAGGGGAAATAGACTATTTATGTAGGGAAAACAGTGAAACACACACAGCTTAAATGACCTGATTCTCGCCTTTCTTTACTCTGGTGTAATGCAGTTTTATTTTTATGTTTGATAAAATTAGCATTTCCACTAAACCCAGTGAAGGAAAAATATTTATTAATTTGGTGGAGGTTACAGCCGATTCAGACCCAATGGATTATTGTTGATGTAGATCTCTCTTTTCCTTCTCTCCCTCTCTACTCCCTCCCCTGCAGCAGCATTTCACTTAGTCATCTGAGTCATCTGTTTGTAGCAATAGTTCTAGAAATTGAAACAGTTCAGAAAGAAGACAGAATATTCTATTTTTTTCTGGACTACCTCTTTTCCACTTAGATGGTTTTAAATATTTAGTTCCCTGGTGCACAGACACAACTCATTTTTGCTAAGAACTCTTTTGATCTTTTTTCCTCATTATCCTTCATCTGGTGTTATGTATATATGAATAAAAATTACTCCTAACATGATCCTGGGCATTAAGGCATATATGTTCTGAAAGGGATATATGTGCTAACTGAAGCTAATAGAAATAACTTCACTCTATTTCATCTTCCAACATCTGTCCTTTTCTATCTGTCCAGCTGTGTAATAGCCCACTCCTTTTTTTAAAWTATATATCCTTTTTGCCAAGAATATAATCTTAAAGGTGTGATAACTCTCTGGGGGATAAAAAAAAAAAAAAAAAGATTCTCTCAGAACTATTCTGAAATATTGGGGGAAAAAAATGAGCTTTATGCATTGAATAAAATTAAATGAGAATGAGAAAGCAATAGATTTCAGAGTGCATCCAAATCTGTATTCATGGTACTGTTTAAGCTACATTTAAACAAATGGAAAGACAAAAGTTTGTTAAAGAACCTAACTAACATATAAAGGCATTTTTTTCTAGGTTTAAATTAAGTAAATGCTCTTGCTATCTTTTCCCAGAGCTTTAACTGAGTTTGGTGGTGATTGTTGTTGTTGTTGTTTGTTTGCTTTTAAAGGCCATAGTTCCTTAAGTAAAGCTATTTGGTAAAACAAATCCACATCCATTCTGTTATAGAAGGAAATATCTAGGTAGCTACCCTCTGTGTTTGCAAAGAAAATTTCTAAAAGCATAGTACATTATAAAATTTGTCTGCTCTGTAATAGGGGAACCTAAAAATAATATGCTTTTTGTTTTAATTTTTACCCTAATTGTATCTACAAGTTACCATTCTGTTACAGGCTCCACTTCTGGCATGGGCAGCTCTGTCGATTTATGCATGTCTTTACTTTTCCTGACTTCCTACAAAGAGTGGCATTTATCCTATACGTAAGGGCAGTAGTTTACAAGTGCTAATGCAACTAGTAGGAAAGGACTAGTTAAAGCTGTTGAGACAGAGATTTTACAAATCAGTGGACAAATTCCAGAGCTTAAAAGAGGGAAAGTTATATTATTACTTTTCTGCAACCCCCCCAAAAATCCAAGAACATTTAACATGTTAACAAGATAGAACATCTGTTCAACCTAGATTGTGCAAAAGCACAACTTCACAAAGCAAACTTCAAAAAACTTCACAAAACCTAATTTCAAAGGTGTAAAACAAATTTTAAAACGCTACTAAGTGCATTCTTTATAAATTTACAAAATTCCTTTGGAGGGATGGCATGTGATCCATCCCCCCCCTCCCCAGCCCTGTCATGGCATCAGCCAGTGTGAGCAACAGATCGGTGAGCTTTTGATAAATCACTAATGCAGAGAAGCTCTGCTGGGTGAGCATTGCCCAGGTCTTCCCATGTGCTGCTCCCAGTGCCCACACAAGTCCTAGGCTGGTGGTGGCCATCATCTCCTCTGAGACCCTGTCGTCACCCATGATACCCCATCTTTTCTCTTTAGAGGGGGTTTCCAGCACCCCACAGCCCATCCCAGCAGGGAGAAGGAGTAGAAGAAACTGAAGGGGAGTCCATGGTGCCACCTCTGAGGTGGAGGGAGATGGAGGAGGCATCCCGTGAGAGTGGAAGGGGACCAGGGACACAAAATGGTGGCTCCACATACAAAATGTCTGCTCTCAAGCACAAGGATGAAGCTGCCACGGCAGGAGAGGGATGTAGTGTGAACACACTCATCACACTGCCTCAGTCTGTACACACTACCTCAGCGTGTAGTGATATGTGAAGATATTAATGGTGACAGGATGCCAAAAACATGGACCACCAAAGAACACCTACAGTAAGGGGAGCTGTTACTTGCACATGYTTGCCATGCTTAGTGTGTTTCTACAAAAAGAAAAAAWYYTTTTTTTTTTCTCTCTGCTTCCCTTAGGTTCCCAAAGGCAAGGACAAATATCACGTTTTCATTTCAGTAGCTGGTCTGTAACAGCTCTGTGGCTTCRTGTGAAAATAAACACAGCAGAAGACGCACAAAATCTGCATTATGCACTCCTTGTGGTAAACAATGTCTTTGGCTGACTAATGCTACCTGGACCTCTCTCTTGTCCTACTCTAAAAATACCTGCAATATTTGTTGTCCCATCAGTAGTAATCCCTTTCCTGGAGTAAACAGATAAGTACACTTAAAAAAAAATAATGAGCACATACAAAATTATAAACAGCCAGTTACCAGAAAGGGCTGGTTCTGATATTAAATAACTAGATGAAGAAACTTCCTAAGGGCTCTTTTCCAGTAATTGAAAATTGAGTTTAGCACTAAAGAAAAAGCGTTTTGTGGGGGAAGAAAGAGAGAAGATGGTGTTRTGGAAGGTGAAAGTTGAATGATGACCTTGGGATAAAGCTCTAGGTGATTCCCTATATTTAGATTATCAGATACAATAAAAATTATAGCATAAARTCTTACTTTTATTATTATTATTATTGTAAATGGCTCATGCTTCCCGGAAAGAAACTCTCTGCTCATAGATACATATGGTCCACTGTGATGGCTATTAATGGTATTGTAAAAGCCCTGTTGGGCCAGCTGCCATGTAAATACAGGAAGATACAGATGTTTTAAACATCAAGACCTCCAGCTGAACCTGAAAACACCCGTGAGACACTCCATTAAGCCTGAAAGAGCCTTGGCTGGGAAGCTGGGAGTGCTGGGGGAGCTCCCTTTTTTGTGTGCTGGGTGAGCTTACCTTTGACACAGGCCTGCACTTGGCCGTACCACTCTCCACAGCTGTCGCAGAGCAGTGTGAAAGCGCTTTCCTTGTTGCCCATGATGTAGCCCTGTGCGCAGACGTACAGGAGCTCGTCCCCCATTTCAAAGCCGGTGTGACCGTGCAAGAGGGTGTGAGGGAAGGACGGCGGGTCCCCGCATGGTTTGTCTGAAAAGAGAAAAGAAATGAGCTCGTAGAGACCGTCTAACATCTAATTCATCTTTAACTGCAGTGCTAAATATTGTGTTAAAATTGTAACCAGGAAGACAAATTCACAAAAGAAAACCACAGAGCTCATGCATTTCATCCAGTTCATGCCCTCAAACTCTTTGATATTAAGTACAGTTGTGCTTGGGAAGTTATATACAGGGCTTTATTTGGGATGTGACATAGATCATATATCATATGTGGAGCTTTGTTTTCTGTGTGTCAGCCAAGGAAATCATGCTGTAGGTATCTTCTCTGCCTGCTTCTGCAACATRAGTAAGGGCTTGTGTTGGTTGCAATTGAATAGCACAAACTTGGACATAGCCATTTTTCATTTTTCACGCTGAGAAATGAACTATTTTCATTTTTGAAACCATCTCTCATCTTCCTTTAGTTCTTACAATTAGAAGTTTCTTCCCAGATGCTCAAATTTTCCCATAAGAGATGCCTAACTTATAAAAAAAATGGCCAGCAGTAACATAGCTCTGATCTCTGTGAGAATATGAAAAGAGCTAAATTTATCAGGATACAAAATCTAACAAGATGTTGTTTGACAATATTTCTGCTTGCAGCACTAGGAAGAAGAAAGAAAAAATGACTTCAAACAAGAATGAAATTGATTTCTTTGAGCTTTCTTTTTCTACATGGAAGTGCATCAAGCAAACAGATATCAAGCAAACAGACAAATGCCAACACGAGTGTAAACTAAATTTTAACTCAAATTTTTCAGCTTTCAAAAATCTTGTCTGTTGTTAGCCATGTTGTTACTGATCATCTGGGGAACTGCTAGGACACTGCGGGTTCTCGTCTCTCAGTGCTCGAGTAGGTTTTTGCCATGTTGCCTTTTTCTCCAGATTTTCCAAAGCCATTTCTGAAAAGGATATCTATCAATTACAAAAATTAAAGTTGGATAAAAAAGATTCTGTTTCTTGGTTAGACTTTTGTTTTCAAGCTGAAACAGCTGCCTTCAAGACTTCCAGAGTTTCTGATATAGTTTTTCCCATAGCCTATCTGCTTATGAACCAGGCATAGGTAAACATATTGCTGCTTATTTTGTTGGTTGTTAGCCTTGTTATGAAATGAACATCCTATGATAAATATGAATGCTCTATGAGAGTTATTTTGGACCAGAATTTTAGAAATTGCCTGACAGACCTGGCTAATCCTTTCTAATTGGGTGTGCTGAAAAACATCTGCCACTAATTTAAGGGACACATTACTGGAGTCAAAGCTTTGAAGTCTCTGTTCTGTACACATACCTATACTGTCTAACACCTTCTGAGGCTAGTGGGAGTTATGCACACACACTGACAGAAAAAAAAACAAGCTCTTGTGGCTGCACAAGGCTCAGTTTATGTACAGCCTCATGCCGGCTTGGCATCTGAGGAAGTGAGGAGTAGTTAGCAACTAATGCGTTTCCTGTGAACTGGTAGGATGAATAGAGATTGATGTGGATGAAAGGAATAAAAAATATTTTTTTTCATAGGAAAGCTACGGACCCCTGCGTTTTGTGTACTTTATTTATGTTCTCACTTTCATCAGTACAAATGGGAGCTGTGTACCTACTCTGAGGAGGTATTGATTCCAAGGTTGTGTGGGACAATTATTTGTTAGAGGGTATTCTTAYCTACAAAGCCTTGCTTTTTAATCATGTGGCCAGAGGAAGCAGAAAATTAATGCTTACAGTACTTAAATACATTTACCTTATGGCAAACACATTCAAAAAGAACATTATAAACTACCAGGAAAGAAAAAAAGGTGAAGGGAGCTTTACTGTAGAATTTGGCAACAGAGATAATACCAGAGAATGAGGAGATCCTGAAAGAGCAGTTTGGATATGTAAATGGAAGGGAAAAAAGAGCTTTCAGAGATGTTCACAGACGAAYATTGTACATGGAACTTGTGAACTGTTTGTGTGAGCCTTTCTAAGGTTGTGTCTTCACTGTGGAGCCCACTGAGGCGACTGAATGGACAATGCTAAGTGAAAGCTGATAACCTGCAAGGGTGTGCTGGAGTTTCTACATGCATTTTGTTGTTGCTCTGTGTTGTGGAAGATGCATGAAGATCTTTAGGGTTACATCTTAATTAGCTTCTTAGCATTGCTGTAATCTCAGCTGTTTTGACAACTCATCCTCACGATTTCGTCATACTTGTTCTCTGTGGTACGTGCACAGAAGAGATATTGGTCCATTAAAATGAGCCATTTCTTGGGACACACTTCAGGTTTTTGTTTGCAGCCTTTGTACCAGGAGGTGGCAAAGCTTGGGTTTGTTTGGAGTAACAGTCTGTGCTCAGTGCTGGCATTTGGGCAGTTTGCATCTGGAACAGAGGAGGCAGATATGGGCCACGAAGCATGACAGAGGGTGTGTTGGCGGCAGTGCATCATTAGGAGGAACAGCAGTGCTCTTTGTAAGGAGATTACAGAGGTTGCCTGCAGTGGTGACTGGGCTGGATGAGGACTTGATTCCTCCTCCTGCACTGAGCAGGGTCTGAACTCTCCATGTGGAGCACTGCTTTTCATCCCATCTAATCTGTCGTAAATCTGGCACGTTCTGTTGGTGCTTGCTAAAAGATGAGCCCAATGTCCACTTCCCAGTAGAAGAGCTCCATGTCCTTGAATGTTTTTGCTCCKCACTCAGGCCCCCTCCATGGGATCCTATGCTCTGCCTACTTGTGAGAGATCACATCCTTGAACTTGGAAACTTTGAAGCCAGTTCTGAAAATTTTTATCCTTCCTAAGTTTACTGCAGGAAATTATGACGTCCTAAAATTAGCTGCAAGCAGTGGATTCAGCAGGGGACCTTCTGGATCCTCTTTAATGAAGAAGAGATTTTGCAAATACAGTGAAACAAATAAGGATTGTGAGGTCAAATAGAGTCTAATAGAGTCAAAATTCTAATAGAGCTCCATACATTAATAGCTGACCTCTAGTAAACAAGGATGGGTTAGGCTATGCAGCAAAAAACATATCACAGAGACATGGAAATGTGGAAGTACATAGGAGATCCTCCTGACAGCATTAATTTGGCATAGACTCTCTGGTGAAAATCACTAACACAGGCAATACAGCTAAATATATATGGGTAGAATTCAGGATAGAGGCAGAATATGAAATCTGAATAAATGCCACAGTGAAGACAAAAGAGTGCTCAGCACAGATATATTAATTAGGTTTAGTGATGATTCTGGTTACTGATCTCATGGTGAACCAATAACTTTTCTTTGAAAAGGATTTAAGATACGTCTTGTTAATACAGTTAGCACATTCAGTCTTGACTGGCTTTTAGGAGTTATGGTCCCTCTGAAGAGTAACTTTAACTCCAAACCATATGTGGAAAGGAGTTTGTGACAGATGATTTTTGGCAAAGAGTTGACACAAGACACTTTAAAGAAACAACATTCCCCCTTTCCAATCTTGTTTCCTCTAGAAGTTTTTCTTGACTTAAACTAGATGCACATTATAAGTTTGCGAGAATTTTTTGTGACGGCTTGATAAAATATTGTTTACAGAAACGACATCAATGGAAAAAATCAACACAAGAAAGAAGCAAATTTCCACTCCATTTGGTAGAACTGAGAAGCTACTGAAACATGAATATCTACAATGTCTACTTTAACTGTGCACTATGATCTGCAAGCTCACATGAAACATCCTCTTTGACATAAAATATCCCCCTTTACAACAGTTTAATTCAAGAACATTTTTCCAGAGAGACCACTGGAATTCGTAGGATATCATCTTGTCATTAGGCAATTAGAAAAAGCAATTTGTAACATTCAACCCTATGAAAGATACGTATGGATGTTTGCTTTAATTCTTGACTGCAGAGAAACTAAACTATATGGATATTTTTTGTTGGGAAGGGAAAGGGAAATAAAAATACTGAGTTGAAATAGAGTACAACGAACTAAAATGTAAACAGCCAATATAAGTGCTGCTTGAAAGCTGCTGATGTTAGGATGCCAATACTTCTTTCATCAGATAGAGCTGGTAAGAATAACTTCATTTATTAGTTTAAATGACATCACCAGGTAGCTGGAAATTCACTGTCAGCTATACGCAAAGCTATGGAAAAGAAAAYTGTAGCAATGAAAAAAAAAGAAAAGCCTCATACTCCTAGCAAAGCATGAAAAGAAATGGCATAAATATTACATACAGCAAATTGTAGCTTGATGGCTCTTTTAAAGTACATTTAAAGTGCTTGTCATAAAGAATATCTTCATTTCTTTTCTTTTTTTCTTACTGTTGAAAAAGGCAAAATGAAATAGATACATGATCCATCAACTTTTGATGAGTTCCTGGAGCTAGCAGTTATGTGTAACAAAATTTGATTTGCGTTTATGCTGTATGCTGCTACAAATTGCTGCCTGTTGAGTTTTTCTATTATGGCAGCAAACCAAAGCCTTATGGAATACAGGTTTATCTTGTTGCCTGTAAATATCAGTGGGTCACAGAAAAAAAGAACCATTAAACTTAGGAACTATTAACCAAGATGATTGTGTACATATTAAAGTGAATGGTTAAAAAAAAAAAAAAAAAAAAAAAGCTCTAGTGTAAAAATTAAAATTCTAGGTTCAGAGTTTTCTTGTTTTATCTCTTTTATATTTAGAAATATTTTATTATGAGCTTAGGTGGAGTACAGTTAAATATATACTATGTGATTACATGTGATATTTCATTTTCAGAATAGGTGGAATTTAATATATTTTTAGATAATTTTTGACCCTCAGGGCAAAGAGAAAACCCTTCTCATCTCCATGAATTCTGAGTTCATACAGAATTGTCTTCCTGTCTGATGACTGCATAAAACATTTGTTCCAAGAAACTGAGGAGACATGCAGGTATCCATACTATGAAAAGCACAGCTATACACACAGCAATCATAAAATACTTAGCTACATCTTGCCCTGTAAAATATAACTCTTGTTATTAAAGACTGCCATGATTCTTTTGTGTATCAAAAAGAAAAACAATTTTAGAAGCATGAAAAGAAAGGTATATATATGGCTTATATGGCCATATATGCCTTAGATATGGCTCTAAAGACACACACACCACCACTGTGGGAATTCTGAATGGGGGGCATCTCATTTTACAAAATTATGGGCACTTCCTTAACCCACATATAATCTTCAGCATCCATCTACCTCACTAGACATGCAGGGCTGTTTCCTTCAGTGACTTTGTGCTCTTCTCATACGAGTTGTAGAAGTTTCATTGCCAGACAGCTTTGCTTAAGTCTTTTATTCAAACATCTACTATGCATCCTTTTTTATTTTTTAGTATATTCAAGGAGGAGAGGACTTTATTTTCATTCAGAAATACTTTGTGTTTAAGTACTATCTGATGAGTGTTTCTGGCATGGTCATCTCATTCTGTCATCAGGAAACTCCCTGCCTTGTACAAAATGAGTTGTTAAAAAATGTCTCTTCTTGGTAACCAATATAAAATTTCCCCTGACTTTTAACTGCATTGCTTCTAAGTATTGTGTATCTTCTTTTCAAAAAGATGTTGTCAGCCTATTTTCTTATCAGCACCAATGCCCTTTGACAGTGAACAGTGAACAAACGCAAAATGCCAACATGGATCCTTCCCAGAGACCCAGCGTCTACGTGTGGGCTAAGAGAGAGCAGGTGGAGGGAGATAGGGCAGCACAATGGAGCAATAGTGGTCAGAGCTATGATTTCAGCCCACCACAGCTGCCTGACCCCCGGCGAGCTTTTCCTTTATGGGAGACTGTGACAAAAGCGAGATTTGAGGGAACACAATGAGGTAGTTTTGCAGATGTTTACAGGGAGCTGCTCCTACATGTGAGAAGCAGCATGGAAGAAAGCACAAAGGTGCTTGTGTGACACCATGACCCAGTGGGTGATGAAGCTGGCAGCACTCTGAGCAGCACGGATACTAGAGTTAGCAGGATGAAAGTTATTCAAGAGGATGGTCAGTCAAACTCTGCAATACTTAACTGAGTAGCTGTCCATCAAACATGTATCAACCTGTCACATTTTTAAAGTGTGATTTTCATTCTCCCTACTACCACAAATGCTTTATTAAAATCTCCCCTTTTGTTGTGAGCTTACTGTTTCTCAGCAAATGCCATCTGTTTCCCCTGCTTTCCTTTGAAATCAGATGAAAAACTGCAATGAGGTTATCAACAATCTGAGAGATTTCTAAATATTTTCCTTATAAAGTCCTGCCCATCAGTAACATTTTTTTTTTGGCCCTTGGACTCCCATCTTTTCTTGTGGGTTCCTGCATTTCAATATCAAAAAGTTTAAGCATTAACTTAAGTTAGGAATAATTTAGTTATCAAATTCACCCAATCAGTAGTGCTACTTGAACTTCCTAAACTGCAGCAAAGAAGATAGCACCATTTATTTCCTTCAACCAGTGTTTTTGTAGCAGTTGACTCCCTTAACAAGGGATTACTACAAGATTTTGTTATTGTTCCTCTATGCCACTCATCAGCAGAAAAAATGAAGGCAAAACTTCTAATACTGCAAGACAGTGATAACTGCATTATTTCAATAGCATATCAGTGCTGACCTTCATCCTTTACACAAAAAGCATCATATTGGTCACTCTCAAAGGGATGGGTTTCAATTTTAACATCAATGGCTTTCACGCTCTGCTGTTTGCTGCCCGTCTTTCTGCATATAATTGTCCTAAAATAAAGAAGAAGAAAAAAATAATCAGAAATCTTTAGGAGTCATCATGGAGGTCAAATTTGGTGATTTTTTTTATCACAGTAGTCAGGGAATGGCATTGCCTCAGCTTAGCTGTTTAAGAGATGGCACGTAAGGCATTAGTGTGGGATGGCCTATGAAAGAAAGCCAAGGGAAGATTAGAAGTAGTTTAAAAAATGCTAGCCATAGATGAGTTCAAGGCATAGAAATAATAAAGTATATTTACCTTATTATACTTAGAAATATCAGACCAAATACCTAAGTGTTTTAGGCCACATTCTGCTTTTACGTAACAGCAATACAGACTCCTACCAAGGACACCAGGAGAGTGCCTGGATGAAAAATGAATAGAAATCTCTGGATTTGGTCCGAAGGACTTGTTTGCAGAAAGACTGTTGGTATTTTATCAAATGATATTAAAATATCAAATGATATTAAAATCAAATATGATTTTATCAAATCATATTTGTTATTTTAATCTGCTACATGACTGTGGCCTTTTTGTGTTTCAGCTACTCTATTGTAAACCAGTAATAGTAATACTTGTTCTCCTGCCTGGCCAGAGCACCTAGTTCTGTTGCAGTTAGGACAGTGCAAATGCATAGCCCAAACATGGTGCTATATGTCAAAATACTTTCAAATACATTTTTTAAATGCTTTCAAATGCATTTGTGCCATGAAAAGTTATTTGCAGAAACTGTCAAGGCAGTAATGTATTTATAGTCTCTTTGTAATTTCAAACCAAGTCTATTCCTATTACAAGTTAAACCACCCTGTTAGTTGCAAGTTTAGAAAATTTATCCAGAGATTTTTGGGGGATTTCTTTCATATATATATAAAAATATATAATTATTCCATAGGCGCCAAGACAAGCTATTCCGGTCCTAGAGATCAACCTGTGTTGTCTTCTGTTTCTTCTAGTTTGGTCCTCAGTAGCATCTAACCATCCTGTTGTCTTTAATACACTTGAACAAACGAAATAAATTTATATTTGGTTTTACAGATCTGGAGGTGCTGAACATAAAGGAAGGAATTACTGATTATCTTCTTTCAGYTGTATTGCCTTCTTAAAATTCATGGCAATAAAAGACAAACTTATTATAGAGGAAACTGGTTTTATTTTTATGCTGTAGGTTACAAAGGCTGGGCAAATGAATTCAGCCCAAATTTTTGCAGCTATTAATGGTGTGGGTTTTATATTTGTGTGTGTGTGTGTGTGTGTGTGTGTGTGTGTGTGTGTGTGATCACTGGGTTTGTAGTTGCATAATCAACTATTACATTGAAAGCAGGACAAAAACATTTTCCATGGAAGAATCCCTCCACTGGGATTGTCATTTTGTATTGTGCAATGGCTGAACTAATTTTGCCAACAGTCTCATACTCAATTTGGAGAGGACAGTAAATGTTGAGTAACTGCTTATTCAATGAATGTGAAAAACGTCCAGTGGAAAATCAGAGTACTATATAACAGCTGATTTACACAAGCAGACTGTTAYGGTTGTACTGATCATCTTAATTCTGGCATGTATTAGCTTTTGAGTGGTTAAATATSAAACTTTAATGCTCTTTAAATGTAAATAAACATAAACAGCATGAAAAAGCCATATGGTGCTAGTCACACATATGTATCAGAAAGATTCCTACCACATTTCTACTTGCCAAAGTTGAGAAAAAGCAATGGCTTACTTAAAGCTTTGAATTCAAGTCAAAGATACTTCCTCTGCAAGGAAAATGTCACTTGCTTTTTTTTGGTGTTCATAYACTGAYRTTTTCCCCTAGTCRCTATGTAGGATTCAGAATACACACRAAGATGRGATTCTCTATAGGAAAGAAGTTRCAGGTCTTTTACAAGCCTGYCTTTGCATCAGTTAAAGGTTTAAATCAAGTTTACCTAAAATTTTATGGCAAATTTCAAGTTCAAGGGCCTAAAGCTAATCTTCTAGTCAGTTATTAGGCCCAAAGCAAAAAGTGACCTGATTAGCCAAAGTAAGTTCAGATGATCAGCAGAATCAGAACATCAAAGAGCAAATATTTATGTGTATTCACACATTGTTCCACCAGATCTTATAAGGCCTAAATGAGTGTAAGAATCATCTTGTTTTCTTTGGGAAAGTGACTTAGCAACCTAAAGCTTTCCAATAATCAATCACATACTTAGTGTGTAAAATTGTTACCATTATAAAATTCTGGTCAATTGTGCCTCTGAAAAKCATTCCACATTTCTCTGTATGCTCAATCAAGGATTAATATTCTTGATCCTTGGTAACCAGTTGTGAAAGTCTTAGATSAAATTTTCTAATTTCCATGTCTAATTTTCATTTCTAACCCTTATATTTTGCTACTGTCATGCATTATAAGCACCATATATTCTGTATTAGTTATGAGAGCTGCTGTCTTGTGAGATCAAATTTGTAAAAGATATATCATTCATATAATTATGTTTTAAACTTTAGTAAAATCTTTAAACAACATTTAGATTTTTTTATAAAGTATTTCATGCTAAACGTTTTCCTACATTAAGCTTAAAAATTGTTCTTCCAATGTCTTTCTTTCTTCCTGCACTAGACTAGACCTTGATTAATCCTCTACTTAGCAATTTAATTTGGATTTTGTCATATTGAAATTCTTCTGTTTAAAACTGAAGACATTCTAACATAATTCTTCTGAGATGAGGGCAATCWTGTCCTGCACGCATAAAAAATCAGAAAAAAAGAAAAATCTATTTTTTTTCTCCCACTCCTTCTTTAAATAGTTTTCCTACCATGAGCTCAATCCTGCAAGCTTTGGGCTTCTTCAGCAGGCTGCTATTAACACAGCTTCCAGTAGCTCATCATTTTTGAGTAGTGGGTCTGATGTTCAGGCTCGTAATGCCTTTGTCATAGCAACATTCTCTTTGTAGTCATTAGGACTCCAGGAATGACCAAAACTATAAAATTCTAGGCTCTCTTCTCTGTATGTCTGCACCTATATGCCTGCCAAAACTGTAAAATGCTTGGCTTTGCACAGACATTATAGATGAAATTTGCAGGTATATTTTTATCTCTATTTTAAAATATAGAGATAAAATGGAGATTTTGATGCCTAGAACTTTGCTAAACTTTTCATTTGAGCAGTAAAAAATGGCTTGTGCCTTCTCAGTTCAGAATTCAGTATATTTTCAAATTTGTTTAGCAACACYTTAGCTGTGCTGAGGCTGAAATTGGAAACAAAAAAAAATCATACATTTTTCTTTTTCATTTTTACATGCAATTTTTTAGTTTGAATGTCTTGRTGAAAGGTTTTAGAAAATGTGTAAACTGGTATTCTCTTTACTGTTTTGAAGTGTTACTGAACTGGAGCACACATGATGGTTGACAGAATGCCACAAAGTTTATACTTTGTTCAGAAATATATCTAAGTATCTAACTGATTATAAGAATGTAATTAAATAGGCAATTTTAATTCTATTTACTGCTAAGGTCATTTAATAGTTGAACTAGAAATTAGACAAGATTATTCATCCTTTCAGTATATATTGAAATCTCTTGCTTAGAGCAATGTCATGCATGATTTTGTACCTGTTATTTAATAAATAGATGCAATTTTTTTTTCCTCCTATGATGGTCCCTGATGAAAATAGAATTTTACACATGCTCAGAACAAACATACTGATTTTAAATACATGTCATCCATAATTATCCTAWGTAATTAATACACCTCTGCTTGCAACACATCACTGAAAATTACTTAGGCTTCTATGAACTCTGAGAAACTCTCCCTGAAAATCACAGCATTAAAATCAATTCCACAGACAATTGCTACAGACCAAGTACAGCTAGCATGTATATATCTATGAGGTTAAGTGCAGGCATGGACTTCTGCACTGCTTCACATGGCTTTGTTCACTGCTGTGATCGTCTCAGATAGTTTCCCTGGCTCCCATTGTTTAATAGTTAAAAATATGAAAGAAATTGTTTTGCCTTTGCTTTGCAATTATATATTACTTTTCTTGACAAGTCAAACGAAAAGCTGTTGAGAATTTTCTCAGTCCAGTGCCAACCAACCTAGAGGAAAGTTCTGCTTCATAATGTCTTTCTTTCCTCTCAAGTGAGAAAGCAGGGGAGAGCTGAGACTTTTCAGTTCTGAATCTCAGTTTTAAGTCCTGCTCTAGAGGAAAGAGTAAAAAAAAGTAAGAAAACTTAAGTTTCCTCAGTACCCATTTTGAAAGAGGGATGAGAGGTTATTCAAGCTGTGCAACTGCATTGTTTTCTTGTTTCATATCAGATGCATTTACCAACGTAAAAYGTAATATAAGGCATTATAATATAAGGTATTATATAATTCCATAATAAGGTATTAACCAGAAGTCGTCTATTTAGTCTTAGACTGATTAATTTCTTTCTCTATTATTAAGTAACCAATGAGTAGTTGGTGTATTATGCATTTCTCCAAATTCCTCTGTTCGAAGAAGTAAATAGCAGGAAAAAAAAACAGCTTGAATAGTATTTATTTTACTATATGGTAGAACATGCCATGATATGATATGATATGATATGATATGATATGATATGATATGAAATGAAAAATAGTTTATATATATATCCTATGATAATATAATTGAGTCATATTAATATGAATGTGTTTATGTAATTTATATGATATTAAACAAAGTTGAATATTATAAATATTTGTTATTTTTACATAAACCATTAATTGTTTTTATCCACTGGTACTTCTGCTTTCTACGATAACTACATAGGAATTTTGTAATATTAGAATTTTTTTTCTAGTAAACYTAAGTGAACACACATGGAGTTAGTGACTGAGTTTACAGTTTGATCYATTCAAACACCACCACTGAAACAAGTAGGTGGGACCCGGATGATTGTGGCCATACGTTATCTGCCAATTAATTGTAGGTTTCACAGTTTTAGTTAATAGAGTGCCTGAAGTGAGTCAGAATAGTCTTATGACATTTATTCATAGTAGTATGAGTTTKA